CAGCGAAACTCCGTACCATAATTTCGAAAAATTTAAAGAAGATATAAATTTTAATGGCTCGGAATGAAGCTTACGACGAATTATGAAAGAGCTAGGGATTCAGATGGAAAAAAAGAACAGAAAATAATCGGAAGCTAGTAATTGAAAAAAGTAACATTCGATTACTACGAATCGAATATCTTCAAAAAATAATTAATTATAGACAAAAAAGAAGACCGAATCGACCGAGTTGTAAACTACGCCGATGAGCCCTATGTCGACTCATCACGATGATAGCGACTCGGGTGATGAAAACAGTGATGATGATGATGGTCAAGATTATGATAACGAAAAAAAAATTACAAATACCNATTGAAAAAAGTAACATTCGATTACTACGAATCGAATATCTTCAAAAAATAATTAATTATAGACAAAAAAGAAGACCGAATCGACCGAGTTGTAAACTACGCCGATGAGCCCTATGTCGACTCATCACGATGATAGCGACTCGGGTGATGAAAACAGTGATGATGATGATGGTCAAGATTATGATAACGAAAAAAAAATTATAAATACCAGCTTCGCTTCAACTGAATCAAGACCTGGCAACAGCTCTAGTTTTGACTTAACGATTAATAACGATAGACTTTCCACTGTACGCAAGCGTACTTTTGGGAGCAAGCGGAATGAAGGCGCCGTGCGGGGCGCAAGGTTCGACTGATCTACCAATAAAGCGCTCGATACGATTTCCCCTGCCGTCGCGCCTCACCCTCACCACCAAAGTGATCTAAAATTCGGTTCTGCGCAGTCAAGGTCATTTGCTCAAGAAGTTTGCCGGTTACTATAATTCCGCTTGATATAATCGTATGTATTGTACCAATATAGTGTTCGTAAATAGTTATATGCAAAAATTTGCATGTACATCTATATACAGGGTGTCCCAGATAGAATGGATTATCCTGAAATACCTCATAGTAGAGCGATTGGGGACTCAAAAAAGTAAAATAAAAAAAAACTTCTTAAGTAATATTCTAATTACTTATGTATTCATAAAAAACACTATTTTCCATACTACTGCGCGTTTCTGTAATATACAACAGCTACAAATAATCGAAATCTATAGGCTTTTTCCAACTGTAAATCTGGATATAATATGTGTTTAAGCTGTTGTGCATGTCTATGGGTATGTGCGATGGAGTGCATGGATAGAATATTTTACAGAAAATTAAGAGAGTGTAGGAGTGCCACCCGCAAAACATAACACAAAATGTTTCAACATGCCAAACAAGTTAAAGAATACTTTTTGAATATTTAAAAAACAAATCATTATTTCAAGCTGCTATGCGCGACACGAGAATGTTCGCGAAACTTCATCAGGAGAGCAATTTGTTTCCGTTTCGACATAGTTTAACTTCTGAAGCCACAACGTTACCTTTAGTTCACATTTAATCTTTAGGTCATTAAAGAAAGTAAATCACTAATGTCATCTATACTTCTATACTTATCAATATTATAAAGCGGAAGAGTTTGTTTGTTTGAACGCGTTAATCTCAGGAACTACTGGTCCGATTTGAAAAAATATTTCCGTGTTAGATAGTCCATTTATTGAGGAAGGATATAGGCTATATAACATCACGCTAAGACTAATACAAGCGGAGCACCAATAAAGAATGTTTCAAAATCGGGTTTTGAGAGCTTCCGCGCGTGCACTGTAGAAACGGTTAAAGTTTCGCTAAAATAATGTATGACGGAATTGTTCCCCTTTAAAGGATCTAAAAAAAAGTCCGCGACAGCATATGTCTATATGTTAATGTTGGCTCAATATAACGTTTTTAATGCTAATCAAATTTGTTCTATAATAAAGCAATAATTGTGAATTACAGTCAAACCTGGATAAGCGAGAGTTCAAAGGAGCACAATCTCATTCTCGCTTATAAAGGTTTCTCACTAACCCGAGTTTTTCGCTAATGCTCCCTCTGAATTTCATTTCGCGATTTTCCGGATTCAAACGCATTCACTATTTACTTAATGACAGTACTTTAATTTTCCGTTTTGACATGATGCAGAACAGAACTTTCCTTCGCAATTGATTAACGATAAACTGAGTAAGTCCGACAAACAGGACGGTACACAGGCGCACGTGTCCATTCGGAAAGAATGCGATACAATAACAACGTTATTTCGTTCCACGAAATAGAATAGGTTCAATATTGACGAGAAAACAATTCAAAAACAATAGAAGGAAGTTCCACAAAAGTTAAGAATGAGTCATAAAATAGCAGATGTTAAATTTATAATTTGTTTTTTCAATTGTTCCTCCTAAATAATATAAATAAATAAAGGTCGACTGTCGCTTATAGAGGTATAGATAAGTAGCAGTCTCACTTACGGAGGTCCATGAGGGAAAAACGACTCTCTCTTACAGAAGTTTCTGTTTCTCTCTAATAGAGGTTTTGGGAGCTTAAAATGACGGGTCCTGGCTATTACTCTCACTTATAGAGTTTTCTCACTTATCCAGTTCTCGCTTACCCAGGTTTGACTGTATTCCAAGCGGACGAAGTCGCGGGCAAAAGCTAGTAGTAGATATTCTGAAATAGCAGGAGACGCATTGAGAACGTAGCAGTTGTGATGTTCATTAACGGAGTAGAATTTTCATCTACAACGACATAGTTTAAGGTCAAATTTAAAAAATAAATATGAAAATAGCCCTGCGACATTTATAATGCGAAGTCGTTTCGCAATATAATGTTATTTCCTTTGTGTAGGCGAGGGAAGTTCATAATCTGCACGCAATTACGGCCCAAATAATGAGAAATCCGCTGATAGGACGCACGTTCCAAACTTAGAACGCAGTGACTATATTGTTACAGTATAAATTAAATATGAAATCAACATTGATCGTTTTGATTTGGTTCGTATTCATGTTGGGGGTGTATTCTCGTTCACGGAAGCCGGAAATAAATAAACACGGAGCTGAAATTCTTCAGCCGGCGCAAGTTGCAGTTGTCATGAAGAGTGCCTTCGCCGAGGACTCTCCACAGTGGATAGAGGAAATCTGCCCTAATGGATACCAAATGGATGTTACTGGAATATGCCGTGAGGTGTGGTACGACGATTACCAATACAATAATGGTTATTAAGTTGAAAATAATACAAGAAGAAAACGTTCAAATAAAGTTATGTGTGACTACCAGACTTTTTTAGATTAACGTTGCCAAAAAGTGTTTTTTTTTTCCTAATTTTGTTAAATTGAGTGTCATAATCATCGACCAGCGCCACGAATTTATGTGACCAACAGTGGTTTTTAAAAATTAAAATTTACTTGTAAATTATATTTGTTAAAAAGAATGAGCGAAAAAGTGTAAAAATTTCCTGTGTTTTTTTTTTCTTCTTGATGACATAACATTTAATTCTCTATGGCATTTTGGCGTTTAAGGTGTCTTTTTTTTTGTAGTCTAGCCTTGCCTTGTAAACGATTATTGTTAAATCACGGATGTAAAAAATAATTCATATTGTACAATTTACCTAAGCAAAATGTTTTTTTTTTTAAATTGGTCTAAAAATGATTTTATGAGTAATAAATACGTACAGTGCCTATGCTTTTGTCTTCTATTTTGTCTCTTCATCACTCTTGTCTTCTTGAAACATTGTAGTCCACCTTTATACCTAAATAAAATTATTTAGCTAAGTTAATGTTAGTTAGTGTAATCTCTTTGTATATGATATAATTTGCAGAAAATAATGCAGATATTAAGTTAGTAAATGATACTTGTTATGGTTTGAAAAAAAAAATGGTTTTAAACTTGTTTACGTAAATTATAATATATAAATTATATCAAGCGGATATACAGGGTGTCCCATAAAATAGTGTCAAGCCGAAGTCCAGAGGTAGAGTATCACTAGGGCTATCCGAATCAACCCATGTATGTATGTTTCGCGATTTTTGATAGTTTTCGAATTATGATATATTTTTTTTATTTTTTTTGGGCACTGTGGCGTGAATAATTAAGGTACATGCCTGTTTTTTTTGTTTATTGGATGAATGCTAGGACTAGCTGATTCAGAAGTATTTCCATCCATAGCTCTAATTTAAGCGTAAAAAAAAATTGAAACTAAAAAAGTTAAAAATCCTGTATTTGTGATACCGTCGAAGTAACATAATGAATTTTTCATGAAAAATAACTGATAAAATGGTAAAATTTAAAAAAAAGGTTTGAATGAAAAAGTTTATGTTATGTTAAACTTTATTTTTTGAATGGGCTTTAAAGTACAGAAAAATTACAGGATTTATATTTTTTTAGTTTCATTGGATGGAAATACTTTTGAACAGCTAGTCCTAGAAAGTATTGTAGAAAGAGGGGTAGGGGGCAAGGAAACCAAAGCGCGTAGTAGTTATACCTTTATTCATTACCGGAAAAAATAAAATTCGTGTCAAGCATTTTAAAAGTGCAGAGTTTATGCACACACATACACTTATTGTTCTAAATCAATTTTATTTAAAACATTTTTAAACATTCTTGAATCGTTTCAAACTGAACCGTTTTGAATTGAATCATTAAAATATTCCGTTTACAGAAGTAGATTATTATTAGGTCATTATTCTCTATTATAAAATTTTGTCAAATTCCTATTTTATTTTTATGGATTAAAAAAAAGCTCATTTTTAGTCTCAGTTAACTTCACAATATTTATTATCATTTTATCATTTTCATTCATTTTATCATATCCGATCTATCGAATTTAGTCTTTGACATCGTTGTACTATTGCCTAATTTATAAAACATATTCACAGTTTCGTAGTATGTTCTAGGACACCAGCAATTATTATCTGCAGTTTCAGGAATATTATTCGACTGTGTACTTATAATATTTCATATTATATTAGATAATCCTCAGGTGCGAGAATTGATCATATATTATTTATTTTAAAGGAAACAATAATATACTACATAACATTATTTTTTCATATTTATTAGCTAGTCATCTTTCATTTGTATTAAATTTTTGTACAGTAGGCAAGTATTATTTAAGAACGTACAGCTTCAATGTATTTCCAGGTATCGAGCTCTTTCAAGTATTCGTTTCCTAGAGTAGTTGAAATGGTCGAAGTAACAATAGAAATAGCGCCATGGAACCTGTTGACGTAATCAATGAAAACTTCCTCAATCAGCCTGTTGATAACAGCGTCGATGTTGCCACCACCGATAACTCCAGAGAGGTTGGACTGAAATGAAAAAATATATATCATTAGTACTATAAAATAGTCACATCTATTGTAAAATAATGTTTTTTTTATATTTTTTTATTGCTTAGATGGGTGGACGAGCTCACAGCCCATCTGGTGTTAATTGGTTACTGGAGCCCATAGACATCTACAACGTAAATGCGCCACCCACCTTGAGATATAAGTTTTAAGGTCTCAAGTATAGTTACAACGGCTGCCCCACCCTTCAAAGCGAAACGCATTACTCTTTCACGGCAGAAATGGGCGGGGTGGTGGTACCTACCCGCGCGGACTCACAAGAGGTCCTACCAGAGAGGTAAGAGTACCACCATGGAGAGTATTGATGATCTTGCTTAAATTGATATGTGCGTTTGAGAGTTTTCATTCGATGGAGTTGAAATTGCATACCTAGCTGTGTTGCCATTGGGAATGTAGTACAATCAAATGATTTCATACGTTTGGACATAATCTCCGCGAAAAAAAAAGCATGTTAGAAAGACAGTAGACAGTTTTATCTGTTCTTAGCTCTTGCCGATAGTTTTCAGTCTGCCTGTGATCACGGCGCTTGTAATAATACCGGAATATGGGGAACTCATTACATAACAAAATAGTGATATATCTAAACCCGTTAAATAATAACGTATATAAAGTATGAGTTTTATGAGTACTCACTCTTAGGTGTGGAATAGAGAAGGCAGCATTTTCAACTCTATTAATGACTACTGATTTTTTGTTCTCGTGTTGCTCCAAAAACAGTTTGGCACGGAAGCGGAATCCTTTAACTTCGAATCTGTAATTTAAAAAAAACAATTAGGAATTTTATAGTTTGCTTGAAAAGAACTTAGTTTTCTTTTGTTTACTGTTTTTATTGAGTGCATAAAACAAGTAAATTTATTGATAAAAAGGATAGGAGGATATAGGATATTTAAAGGATTCATAATTTGAGTGTGTTTGTTTTGTAATGGAAGTTAGTATTGTATCTACTTAAATTATTATGGGGTATGAAAATTCAAATATAGTATTACTGAAACTTACTCAGCTCTGCCGTTTCCGAAAAGAGGAAGAAAACCAAAGAAATCTCCAACCAAATCGTAGGTTTCTGAAGAAAAAAATTTTTTATGAAAGAGCTTCATTCTCCCTCGAGTGTAATGACTTGTTTTTTTCCTAAATTAGATTGATTGATAAACAAAATAATTAAATAGTGTTAAGTGGTTATCGGAGCTCATTAGCATCATAATGTAAAAGCCGCCTCCTCTTTGAGACATCCAGTCGAAGTCTCAAATGTATTCTATAGTGTACTCCGGTTTGTGCTTTGTGCTCTAGGTTCTATGGGGAGTGTTGTTCTCAAGGACTGATGGTACTGTCATGTTTTTTAAATCGCCGCTGATCGACAGTGCGTTTACGTAAACTATTGCTACCACCAACCAGCTCTTCAACTTCCTTCTTTCCTACCTATCTAGCTATAATAACTTTCTTCAAAAAGCGTTTGAGAGGCGACCTGGGTAGCGTCCTGGATGGATTTCCTCTAACGTTAATAGTGTCCATGAGTAATAATGATCATTCACCATTTGATCGGCCGTATGCTCGTCTGCGTATGTGATGCAAAGCCAAGCCTCTTCCTCGCTAAGGACAGTCCTCAAAGCATGGTAAATGGCATTGACTGCTGTCTTGGCAGCCTCATTAAGAGCTGTACTTGCTCTCGGTACCCAAAACAGATTCAGCAATACATTTTTTTTTATTGCCTGTGTAGGCAGACGAGCATGCGGCCCACCTGATGGTAAGTGGTTACCGTCGCCCATGGATTTTAGCAATGCCAGGGGCAGAGCCAAGCCGCTGCCTACCGTTAATACATACATAATATGCAGATGCTGTTAGAACGCAACTGATGTGAAACCAATGACGTATGTTTGTTCATTTTTCGCGTCGGATGCCCGACCGTATGACCGAGTTTAAAATTTCATAATTGCACAATACTTGGAACTGTTAAAATATGGAATGTTCAATTCTCAATATTTTCGTACATTTTAGGAACTTACCAGCAGTAATATCAATTGTGGGTAGACCAATATCAATATCCAAAGTAAGGTCATCGATGTTAAGATCGATTCTGTGCACAATCATGTTTCCGAAACCAAAGGCGATAGCATTTTTCAGTTTGAGTTTGACGCTAAAATAAATACGTATATTATTTATAAAAGTTCTCTTACTTTTTTTTCGTTTTTAAAATACACTGATGTTCCGCTATCATGTTTTTTAAAGCGCGCTTTCAAATTGGACCATTGTTGAAGAAATTTAACGGTCGTGAGATAGCAACTTTTCTATTAGGATTTTACTGTCGTAAATGAGCAGACGATGTCACAGCAATGGTATTAATAAGTTACCGGTGTCCATGCACATATTATATTAAAAACGTGAAGGTGGCCAATCGATCATTATAATTTATTAGGTAATATGATATAGGTACTGTTGACACTTTGACTGCTTTGGAGCAGATATGTTGAAATGGTGAGAAAGTAAATTGCGGATCAAATAGTAATATTATATACTCGTAATAACCGTTTTTTTTTGTTAGCAAAAGAATGTTGGTTGTGAACATATTAACTTACTTAATAATTCCTGCATTAACAGGTAGTTCGAAGTATTCTAGGACCAAAGGCTCAAGAGGAGGAAGATTGAAAATCGGCCAGCCATTATTCACTACATTGTAAATGAACTTCAAGAGCCTAGCAATCAACTCTTCCACGGTCCGTGGGAGTTGTGGTGTTGGGGGTTGAGGCTGTGGAGGTTCTTCTGTTGTTGTTGGTACAGGTTTTGGGGGTTCTTCAGTTGCTGGAGGTTTAGGTTTTGGGGGTTCTTCAGTTGCTGGAGGTTCAGGTTTTGGGGGTTCTTCAGTTGCTGGAGGTTTAGGTTTTGGGGGTTCTTCAGTTGCTGGAGGTTCAGGTGTTTGCGTTGTTGGAGGACGTACAGGTGGCCTAGTTGTTGGGCGCGTTGTTGGCCGCATAGTTGGCCGCGTAGTTGAGGACAGTAGTCTATTAAGTTCTTNTTCAGTTGCAGGAGGTTCAGGTTTTGGGGGCTCTTCAGTTGCTGGAGGTTCAGGTTTTGGGGGTTCCTCAGTTGCTGGAGGTTCAGGTTTTGGGGGTTCCTCAGTTGCTGGAGGTTTAGGTTTTGGGGGTTCTTCAGTTGCTGGAGGTTCAGGTGTTTGCGTTGTTGGAGGACGTACAGGTGGCCTAGTTGTTGGGCGCGTTGTTGGCCGCATAGTTGGCCGCGTAGTTGAGGACAGTAGTCTATTAAGTTCTTGATATGTAAGTTGAATGTCTAAATGTGATATATAAAAAAAAACAAGTTAGTATAGAGACTTAACAGAAACTTCACTTTGTGCTTGGGCACAAAGATAAAGTTTCTTAATCAGTTCTTAATTTAAACTATTATAATTAATTTAATAGGGTATATTCTATTGGAAACTCGCAAATCTTACTTGTTGATTTTAAACATGAATCAGTACATTAATCCAACGAAACTAAAATCGAAATCTAGACTGGAAAAATAATTTTAAAGTATGTATTTTCAGTTAGTTATAAAAATAATTACAATTTTTGCTTTAAATAAATAATATAAATAGATCTAACTATTCAATTTTCTTACAGCAATAAGGCTCAATACTCACCGTAATTCAACAAAGAAAACTCCCATGGTTTCGCTGCCGCGAGGGCGCAGAGCGTCAAAAGAATCAATAGTTTCATTTCTCAATGGGACCTACAATTTAATTAAAGATTGAAATACAATAAGTAAAGTGTGTTTGAAAAAGAAAAACCTGCATGGGAAAAAACAGGTGTGTATAATTCATGCAGGTACACTAATATGGACACAATGGTGTAGCGCTGACATCAATTCGTACGGACTAACAAACTTCCTTTCCACTACTAATGATAGGCAAAGTACTGGAAAACCGAAGATGCTTCTTCGGACATATTAATTACAAGCAGTAACAGCTCAAGAATTTTGGGTTAGAACCGGAGTTTTCTCAGCTATGCAGATCCTTAGTACTTGAACCTGTAATCTTAGTCGAAATGTGAAGATTTTCCACGGCTGCTCACGACCTATGTTTATTCTAACAATATTGTAATTTTTATACTATGGCTGCGTTTAATGAGCCTCTTGTCACTGTATATAATTTAAACAAAGCATATTATAGGTAATAGTGACACATAGCAGTTAAAAAAAAAGTGAATCTAATAATATGAACTAGGTACGTACCTTACATTTACTTCACTTGTCATGAACTACACTTTTCTGGAGAACGTCTTGGTTATACATTTAAAAAGTAATAGTCAAGTGTGAAATTGAATTTAATATCTAGGTTCTGTCTAAATATCACTAGCTGTCCACGTACATAAAGAGAGGTGAAATGCTATTTGGTTTAAGCGACATGTTTGCAACTTCACATGAGAGCCAATTCAAATTCGAAATTTAAAAAAAAAAACTTCTCTCAGCTATTTAAACGTGGTAAACATAATTGAAGTTCAATTAAAAACATCGAATTATTGATACAATTACCAAATAAAGCGGACTATTCTTGACAAAAATAAATGTCGCGTATTATCTGAGATGTTGCATAAGCCTTTTATCCCACAATATCTAGCCAAAATAATAGGTTGGGGAACAAGTTTCTTCGCGTTTTTTATGAAAATTCACAACATTTTTAATATAGTTTATTTACATTTAACTAAAGTGCGTAGGTACCATTTTGGTCGATAAATTTTTGCCATCTTGTAGGTAGGGACATGATCCCATTGCTATAGAAATTTTGGGGCTTCTGATCAAAATACCGCGACAATCGGTTTTGGAAGTCCTTTCGTGACGTTAACCTGACACTGCCTAAATAATTCTGAAGAGACCGAAACAGGTGGAAATCTGAAGGTGCAAGGTCAGGACTATACGGTGGATGCATTAACACCTCTCAGCCAAGCTCTCTTAATTTTTGCTGAGTGGCTAAACATGTGTGAGGTCTAGCGCCATTCATCATGATGAAAAACCACACCCCTTCTGTTGATTAATGCCGGTCGTTTTCTCTCAATTTCTTGCTTTAATCTCATCAGTTGTTCACAGTAGGGTTCCGAATAGATGGTCCAGCCTGGTGGTAACAGCTCATAATGCCCTTCCGATCCCACCACACACAGCATCATCTTGTTGCGAGTTAACCCGGGCTTCGCCACAGTCTGTGAAGCCTGACCGGCCTTTGACCATGACCTTATTCGCACGTTCTTGTCGTACGTGATCTACTTTTCATCACCAGTTATCAGCTTCTTCAAAAACGGTTCAGTTTCATTACGTCGTATTAAAGAATCACAAATGAGTACACGGCTCATTAAGTTTCTTTCAGTGAGCTCGTGAGGTACCCAAATATCGAGCTTTTTTGTGTACCCAGTTTTTTTCATATACGCCAAAATTGTTTTGTGTTCAATTCCAAATTCTTCAGCTACGTCGTAATTACTGATATGCCAATCATGCTCCACTTTTTAAAAAATGGCATCCATTTTATCCATAATAGGACCAGAAAGACGTGCATCTTTGACATCAAAATTTCCGGATTGAAAACGCTTAAGTAAACCAAATTTGTGCTACTTTCAGACACTGCACTAGGTCCATAAACATCGCAATTTTTTTACGCGGCTTGCTATGTATTTTTACCTTTTTTGTAGTAAAATTTTAAAATGTATCGAATTTCTTCATTAGATTCACTCATCTTGACAGTACGAAAAATAAATAAAAATCACACATGAATTTGGAATTATTTTCAATAAAATTTAAGCTTTTAATTATACCAAAACCAGCCAGATACAAATAGTATAGCCAAAGAGATTTTATTACAAGTTCATACATACTATAATGCGAAAAGACTTCTCCAACCTATTAGATTACGCCTAAAGATAGAAACGTAAACTCTTATTCAATTAAATACTGGAAGAAAATATGATGGAAAATTTTTGTTGATTTAGCCTGAACTTGAAATAATATTCCTTTTTAGATCAACCAATAGTATTAACCAAATCTTATTTTATCTAATATTTATCCTGTTAATAGTTTCTTATTAACAAGCATATATCATTTCCAGTGATGGATTTCTGGATGGTGTATTTTCGAGAAGTTCCATTAATTTCAATGATTGAGTATCAGAAGCTATCTATTTAATTCCTAATTACATGTTTATAAAGACAGAACCCTAACGCTCACGGAAAGGCGATCATTAACAGTGATATTTTGTTATCATTCAATAACATTAAAATATCTTTTAACAAAATAGTTGGATTAGATTTATCTATATCAAATGTACGGTACTACCTATATCTTTTTAAATCATTACGATTATATATATGCATGTAATGGTAACAACAATAAATATTTTGAGACGCATAAGTAACAGAAGCTGTCCGAAAGGTTTTGCCACAGCAGAATTATTGAATCAGTTGCACAAATTTCTTCCACTAATTGCGTAATTACGCATATATATTTTTCCTTCTTCCTGTCTATGAATATTTAAATGCCAGCTATTTTGAATCATAGACCTATATAGTAGGGACACGACATATTGTTCTATACGTACAATTGCTTATACCTAGTCAGGTCATAAATTCTGTCACATGTTTAATGTAAAATAATTGAAACAAGTTTATTCATTATGTAACCATTCATATACCAAAATGAACTTAACAAAACATAGATTCTTATGACACTAAAGTTTATTCAAAATGACCTCCGTGATTTTGAATACAGGCCTTCAATCTGCGCGGTCAGTCGTCTATCGCAGCACGAACGAGGTCCATGTCAATATCGGCGGCTGCCTTAATCAAGGATGTCTTGAGTGACTCCAAATTGGGATGAGGCTTTGAGCACGCCTTTTCCTCCAAGTGTTGCCATAT